GAAGTCGAGAATTTTCTTTTTGAATGCTGGTTAAGCAGTGATTATCTTTTCACAAGGCTAAAAAAAGGAAAGCGGAGGACAAACTAAAATATAATTGAAGCACGAGAGATTTATTAATTTCTCATAAGTATAAATTGTTTTTATAAAATAATATATTATAGAGCAAGGGTCCGTAGTCTCAGTTGGTAGAGTGCCCGATTTGCANTCAGGAGGTCGTCGGTTCGAGCCCGACCGGATCCACCAAAATTATTATAAAATTTCCCAATTCAACCTCCTCTTTTCAATAATTTTGTAAGTTAGCAAGAAAGTTATTAAAATAATAATATAAAATAAAAACACCATGGCAATCGAATTTGAAATCCGAATATATTTAGAAAAAGAAGGATTTGATAAACTTTTCATCCTTTCAAGACCCGTTAATGTTAATTTAAAGGGAACCAACAAAACAATTGATAAAATTGTTATTGATAAAAATACTAGCATAGAATATCAAAATGAAAATCGCCCGGCTCCAAGCCGAACGGCGACCATTGCAGTAGACCCTTCCGCGACAAATCCTTTATATCCTTTTAAAATAAAGGAAAAGGAAAAGGCAGCGGGAACATTAACCATTGAAGGAATTCGGGGCGACCGGGGGATTGTTCAAATTAAAATTGGAGAAACTAGAGCCGAACGAGAGCGGAAAGTTCAAAGCGAAAGGGAAAGAGAAAATTACCAAAACCGCGGATTTAAAAATCCGCAAGCCTTACCGGATAGCAGTAATGCAATCAATTTTACGGCGGCGGGAATAAGTTCGGCTGGTGAGGATTTTTATAAGGTAGAATTAAGAACCCCGTTGTTGTTAGGAGTTTGAACTAACCGCGTAAATATTAAACACATTATTACTAAATTTCCCGCCCAACCTGCTCGGGGCAGTGCTATCACTATCCGTAATCTTAACCGTGGCGATATTTTTGTTGGNAATATTCAGCGAACTGGANCCCATACAAACGCACATGAAGGAGATTTATTTATTATTTCCAAATATTCGGACGAGAACAACATTGAAATTCAGTCGGGGAACACGGGAGGCGGTTCAACTTCTTCAATTAAAGAAGCAAATCAAACCAGAGTTTTAAGTTGAATTTATGATGGGGAGTTCCGGTT